TAGATTTTTTATAAATTTTTAAAGTTACTCCTAAATCGGGTAAAAGTCCCTGTACTATAGTACAGGGCCAGAGCCAAATTTCGCCAAAATGAAAAGTAGAGGATTCTCTGTTTTTATTACATTTCCTGATACATATACATGTACTTATGTTGTGTAGAAAGTTTGAGCTGATTCCGTTCAAAATTAGATTTTTATGAAATTTAAAAGTTACTCCAAAATCGGGTAAAAGTCCCTGTACTATAGTACAGGGTCACGGGCCAAATTTTGCCAAAAATGAAAAGTAGAGAATTCTCCATTTTCATAATTTTTCTTGATACATATACATGTTCTCAGAGGAGGTAGGACACGGTTGACCTTTGAGCAATAATTGCAAAGTTCAATTGCATTCCATTGGTATCACGTGATGAAAAATGGCAGCTTTCTGATGATTGTATCACAAAACTAGCTACTACTGCAGAAACTAGAGAGATCTATGACGACCCTTGACGGTTGTTAAAATCACCATTGTATGGAGAATATTTCTTATTTGATTATAGACATGAATATAAGAAGGAGAAAGAGACAGTGCATCTTAACTTTGATTCTCTTCTTTACTTCATCAGATAAATCAATCTTCGCTAGTTTAAGATGTTAAAAATTACTGCACCTATCATAGCTTCTAGTGAATTAATAAAAGTCCCATTGACTCTATCTTGATGCTCTAAATTATTGTTAGAAGTGGTACTAGTGGAAGAATTTGGCCATTTTGCATCACGTGATACCAATGGAATGCAATTGAACTTTGCAATTATTAATCAAAGGTCAACCGTGTCCTACCTCCTCTGACATGTTCTTATGTTGTGTAGAAAGTTTCAACTAATTCCAATCAAAATTAGATTTTTTAATGAATTTTTAAAGTTACTCCAAATGCCATATGTACAGTATTACAATGGATGAGTATTGGTTTATTATTATTATTATTATTATTATTATTATTATTACCTGGTCGGTTTCCTGCTCCTTGGTCTACTGGTACTACCTCCTCTGGCCCCGCCTACTCCCGTAGCCCCGCCCATCCCATCAGACACATCACCGTCCTGAAGTTGAAATATCGTTGAAAACTCACGCCGATACTTCTTGAATATGACGGAAATGACTTCAAATTTTCTCTCAAGTGTTTTGACTTTCTCTAAATATAACTGAGGGAGTTTGGCCATTTCTAACCACTTTTTGATCTTACGAAAAAACTCAATTAACCTGAGGAGAGAGAGACGGAGAGACAGAGACAGAGACAGAGATAGTGATAATGATATTGACTTTGTTGCGTCTAGACATCAAACAGGCCCAGTTGGGCTATAAGTTAGTAATTGATGAATGAATGGTAGACTAATAAGCAGCTGCTATAAGGCACTCGTTAGCAGGTGCCAAACTAGTTTAAATTATAAAACAACATCCAAGAAACACTATACACACATTTATATGTACATATATGTAATATGTATAGTACAGGTATATAATGTACATGTATAATACAATGGAAGAGTGTGTATTGTATTATTATGGAGACAACATGAACAGTTAGTCCATTGAATAGAAACAGCCAATTAACATATGTAATGTACATGTATGGTACATATGTAAAGGAATGCTGATCTCCTCTCTCTCTCTCTCTCTCTCTCTCTCTCTCTCTCTCTCTCTCTCTCTCTCTCTCTCTCTCTCTCTCCCTCCCTCCCTCTCCCTCCCTCCCTCCCTCCCTCTCTCTCTCTCTCTCTCTCTCTCTCTCTCTCCCTCCCTCCCTCTCTCCCTCCCTCCCTCTCTCTCCCCCTCATAATCATTACTTTATTTTAGTAGTCCTCAGTATTTGTGTTAGACTGATACTGTCC